GATCCCCCTGCCTCAGCCTCCTGAGTGCTGGGATTGCAGGTGTTAAATTGCTTTTCAGTTGGTTTCCCCATTATACACTTTCTTCATCATTGTATGAGTTAGTTCACCTAGGTGCAAACATTAGGGCTTGTCACATTTTACAGAACTTGGAAAAACTGAAATGTGTATGCTATCGATTTGCATTTCCTTGATAACTAATTGAGATCTTTTCTTTATATATTGGCTATCAGGATATCCTCTCCTTTGTAAAGTTCCTTTTCAAGTCTTTTGCCAGTTTTTCAGTTGGTTTATCCCTCTAGTCCTCATTGATATGTAGATGGTCTTCATATACTTTTGAATAGGAATCCTTTGTTATTTATAGCAGTTATCCCCCCAGTCTGGGAAAACTGTTTTCTTTTTAGATGTTATCCTTTAACAATTTCTCAGTGTGTTTGTAAAAAACGATCATCATGTAGTCCTATTTAGTAAATTTGTCCCTTCAGTGTCATTACCTTGCTGGTTGTTGAGAGCTTCTTTGCAGTCCTATGTTAAAGATCTTTTCCATCGAATGTTTTCTTCTGTGTCACACAGTTTGATCTTCATGCTTAGATTTTTCATCCATTTAGTACTGAATTTTTGGTATATGGTACAAGGTAGAAATGCTATCAGTGATGTGCTGATAAACTGGCTCTGAGTGGGGAGGGGAGCCTGGCGTGTAACCCTTGCTGATTTCCATACCTCAAATACCCCCACCATGGCTAATTGCCAGCTACCAAGTTTAACAATACGGTTTAGAAATTCTTGAATTTTTACCAACTGATTGTTTGATCTAGCTCCAGTACATCACTAGGTCCAACTGTATTTTGGTTTTTCATATGGATGATCAGTTGTCCAGTGTGATTTAGAGAATAATGCATTCTTCTACACCTGCATTAAATACAATTGTTTTTATTGATCTCTCCAGAACGTAACAGACAGCCTTGAAGAACATAAAGCTTTAAAGTACATAAAGCTTTTTAATGTTCATTTAATCTATACAGTGTTATTTGGAATTAAATTTGTTTAAACTTTTACATATATAACATTATTTGGACACAACAATGTATAAATTATGGAGACTTTCATTAATTGGAAAAATGATAGACAACAGTCCTATTTTTCTCTTTACCAGCTGCCATAAAATTGGTGTCACATATTGTGTTTCCATATGTACATGTATTGCTTTCAGGACTTTCTCTTCTGTTTAATGCACTGAATTGTCTAATCTTATTTCTCTTGTGTACAGTATCAGTTATAGTTGTTTGGATATGAGTAAATACCTGGACAAGTAAATTTCTTTATTCTTTTCTTCAAACCTGGTTTATTTATATTTCCATAAATATTTTAGAGCCAAATCATCAAATGTGAATGACAGTAACTCTAATAATAAGGCTGTTCATATTTTATAATATGTCATAATGTGTTTGTAAGTTTTTTTGTATCTAGTGTTTCTCAACAAGAATATTATTAGCATTTTTGGCTGAATGATATTTTATTATATTAAATAATATTTTACAAGGCAGGTTAATTAGCATTCTTCTTCTTTTTTTTTTTTTTTTTTTTTTTTTTTTTTTTTTTTTTTTTTTTTTTTTTTTTTTTTTTTGTCTTTTTGAGACACGTTCTCACTATGCAGTTCAGGCTGGCCTTGAGCTCACTTTGTAGCCCAGGCTGGTCCTGAACTCACAAAGATCCTCCTGCCTCAGCCTCCCAAGTGCTGGAATTATAGGCCTTAGTTAGTATTCTTGACTCTTTTTCAATAAATTTCAGAATTATTTCCTCATTATTGTGAGAAACTCCAAGGGACGCTCTTTTTTCCTTTGTTTTTCCAGTAGTTTACAATCAATTGAAGGAAGCATATCAATTATATAAGTGTCATAGTTTAAAAAGGTAGAAATGCAAATTATGAACCTAAGAATATTTTTAATTCTAGCGAACTTTAAAATAATATGTTAATTATAAAATCAAGTGCTTAAAATGTTCCGGATGCAGAAGAGGGAGTTATATGCATTTATATGTTAGTAACTTTTAGAGTCATAAATAATAAATTTTTTCTGAGTTATTTATCAGTGTTAAACACAATTGTTTTTATTGATCTCTCCAGAATGGAACAGACAGCCTTGAAGTACATAAAGCTTTTTATGTTCATTTAATCTCTACAATGTTATTTGGAATTAAATTTGTTTAAACTGTTATATATATGACATTAATTGGACACGACAATGTATAAATTATAGAAATTATGATTTCTATATAAATTATAATTCCAAATTATTAATTAGAATAATGATAAACAGCAGTCTTATTTTTCTCCTTACCAGCTGTCAGGAATATTAAAGTGTATCTTTTGTAGATCTGGACCAAACAGGACTCCAAGAATTTTTTAAAAAATGTATACCAGCTCTTAAATGGAAGCATAGTTTCTCCAAGTTACTTCTTGTAACATAAGAAAAATTTATAATTCCAAAATGTAAATGAGTAAAGGTACAAATGTTATGGGAAAA